TTAACACCGCAATCCTGATGAAACTGACACAGTGCTCCTCGTTTTATATTTGGTGACGCCCTAGAATCCAGATATCCGGATTGTCGTACTCACGAGATAATAAATCATACTCAAAGATGAAGTCTAACCAGGGTCATATCTTGATCCCTGCCCAGCGGCTTGCAGTGCTTTGATGTCCCTCTCACTGGCACATTCTTCTCCTCGCCCTTGCTTGCTCGAAGCTAACATCTAGGTAACAACCACTGCTCAGCGCTCAGTCCTGACTGTTGCATCGCTTTCGTCCTTATTTCCGCTACCTGGGCCTCTGGTACTTTTACCCATGTATATGAGTTCCTACGGGCGACGCCTTGTAAGTCTACAGTCTCGCTTGGCCAAGTACTTCGCGCTGACGCCTGATCAGCCCATAGGTTGTTCAGGAGTACGAAGTTGTTCACCCACCACCTCATCCTCCGATTCGTACACGGCTTCATCGGCATATACACCCGCTACGTCCTCCCCCTTTACCATCCCCCCTTCGACATCATCAGCTCAACCCGCCCTAAGCTCTTCAACTTTGTTACCTCCATCAACCGTCATACAAACAAACACTACCACAAAGCCGCAAGCGGGTGCAATAGCCGGAGGGGTGATTGGTGGTGTCGTCTTTCTCGTGTGCGCTGTGCTTGGTGTTCTCATCTACCTGCGCGCTCGCAAGCGCAAGCGCACCGCCCCATCATCCGAGTTCATGAACTCGTTGAAACCAGGCGCCGCTCCCGTCCTCCGTCTCGATTCTGGCACTGAATACGCACCCGTGCTTTCTGAGAAGGGCGGCTTCACGCACTATCCCCACTCTGTGCCACTTCCTCAGAACTCACATCACGCGAGCTCACCCATGCAAAACATGAAATTCCCGGATGCAATGATAATGACGGATATGCCGTCTGCACGTCCAAGCATAGAGAACCCGCTGCATCCTCAGCGGTTTTCGGCACAACACGCCAACGACTCGTTTGGCGATCATGCCCAACCCTTGAGCGCGAGTGCTGGGAGTAGGAGAGAGCTTTGGGGCAGTGATACCGAGATATACGCGGGCGATTTGTCGCCAGCTCGCCGTCCTCCGAGTCGTGGATCTGATTTCCCTCAAACTGCACCACGGTATTCATCAAACGAGCCGTCCTCGCAACACTCTTATTTCGGTCTCTGGCGGCCTGACACCTCACAGGAGTCTGCCCCGCAAGAAACGACCGGTCAGCAGCCGCTCCGTATTCGGCCAACGTCGTCCTTGCAGCCGTTGCGTCGTCAGCAGGATCCGGAGGGAATGTAGCATGAGCTGTTTGCATAGTTTTCGCTGATGTTCACTGACTCTATGTATATCCCGTACTACCTATGATATGTCAGTGATGATAACGTAAGCGACCAGTGCAGCTTCACCAGAGGTGTCAGTGAGCGCTACTTCTCATACACACGAATCACGTCGAGATGTTAGACCACTGCTCCATTTCGCACAAAGGTATGCACACCTTTGTTCTCGAAGGACTGCTTTGACCTTTGATTGTAGGAGGTGTTGTCCTCTGGTCGCACTCTTTTACGCCAGAAGCTTCCCAAATAACTTCCTCCTCTGCTTCACCCGTCAACTCTCTTATCCGTGAAGCACTCATCGAAGGCCGGACTGCAGAAGAGAAATATGAAAAGGATGGTTATTCTGTCAAGTGGACATTTGTGAACGAGCTCGAACTAATATTCGTTGTACGTCTCCGTCTGCGACGCATATAGTCCGGTCTTGACCCCAGAACAGGTCGCGTACCAGCGAATTCTGCAACTCGCTTATGTTGAGGACCTCCTGACTGCCATGAAAGCACTCTTCGTAAAGCTCTTTGAACCTTTCTTGGCGACCTTTGTTGCCTCGCTCCACGCAATGAACAATGGGAAATTGGCTTCGTCACCTGGGCAAGACACGACCACTTTTTGGAATTTCGCCAGGGCCTTCGACGGTTGGGACAAGGTCTTCGAAAAATTACTCAAGGGATTTGAAGACAAGGCTGCACTGGTATTTAATATACGCGGTGGTCGATTCATGCTTACTTGATACACAGGAACGCAAATCCAGATTCAAGCATTTAACTCACGTCGAACAGATCAACACCAGCCCCCCTCCAGATGACAGCACGCGTGAGTTATTGTTATCGATAATCTTCATTATCTGACCCCTAACTGGGTCACAGTTCCCTCCGAGTCCCATGAGGTACCCCAAGACGAACAACAGATCGCCAGAAATGTCCAAGCCCTCAAAGACAGACTACGTGGTCGAGGTGGCAGGCGCGGTGGCAGGGGGCCATTGCGTGCAGAGTCGGGAAGTGGACGAGACAGCACGCCTACGTCAGAGTGAGTTCCGCAGGCTTTGTCGTGGTCGTGAGCTCAAAATTTTCCCTACGCTTAGCAACGAGTCTACCAAACGAAAAACGAAATCTAAAACACAGCGTAAATGGGGTAACGAGGTTCCCAGCGAGTCAGATATGGCGTCTTTGGATTTCAGCGTCGATAAACCAAATTCTGGTGCCAATGGGCACCTTTCACATGACTTGCAGAGTCTCGTTGACGAAGCTTCCTTAGGATCGAGGACGAAAGATGGGATGTACGAGGTCAAGGACTGGGACTTTGGTCAGAAAGTCGATCACACAGATCATGCGATCGCCCGAGCCCTCAGACCAGACGTGACCAAGCAATCTATGGGCTCCCTGGGTTCATTAGGCTCCCTTTTTGCACGTTTGACAGGTTCCAAGGTTCTGACAGAGGAAGACCTCAAGCCCGTTCTGGAAGGCATGAAGCAACATCTCATGAAGAAGAACGTCGCGAAAGAAATTGCTGACAAAGTATGTGAGGGCGTTGGCGAAAGCCTCATCGGCAAGAAGGTTGGAGGCTTCCAAAGTATGTTCCATTATGTGCTAGTCGCTATTCGCGTTCATTTTTTATTTAGCGACTAGCAATGCCGTCCGCATGGCGTTGTCGTCTTCGTTGACGAGGATCCTTACACCTAAGACCTCTACCGACCTCTTGTTGTCCATCCGGACCAAGCTCTCTTCACCTCTTCCCTCTTCTCAACAAAGGGTGCCATACAGCATTGTTTTTGTTGGTGTCAATGGAGTTGGCAAGAGTACGAACTTGTCCAAGGTTTGCTTCTGGCTCATCCAGAACGGATTACGTGTCCTAATTGCCGCTTGCGACACTTTCCGGTAAATATGCGCGTTATCTCTTGCCTTGTGAGCTCTCTTTGAAAGCAGGTCGTCGCAGGAGTGGTGCAGTTGAACAACTCCGAGTTCACGTGCGCAATCTGAGCATGCTGGGAGTCAACGGGGTAACCAACAGCAAAGGGCGTGTCGAACTCTACGAGAAGGGGTACGGCAAAGACGCAGCTGGGATTGCGAAGGAGGCGATTGCATATGGTCAGTTCTCCCAAATTTGCCATTACTGAGCTGATTCCCTGCCTCAGCGAAGGATAACGACTTTGATGTAGTGCTTGTTGATACGGCCGGTCGTATGCAGGATAACGAAGTATGTACAGTCGTCCACGCCTCGATTTCTGGCTCACAGGGCATATTAGCCGTTGATGAGGGCCTTGGCCAAGGTAAACCCACTGCTCTTTCGTCTGAACACGGCTACCCACACACTCGTAGCTTGTAGCAGTCAACCACCCGGACAAGATCATATTTGTTGGGGAGGCCTTGGTAGGCAACGAAGCAGTCGACCAGCTGACTAAATTCGATCGCGCACTGCGTGATTTCTCTGGTGCTTCTGCTGGGAAGAGCCGCGGCATTGACGGCATGCTTGTTACCAAGTGGGACACTGTGGATGACAAGGTATGTCCTTGGCCAGTGCATCTGGGAGGACAAGGCTCATTGATGCATGGAGGTCGGCGCCGCACTTTCTATGACATATGTCACTGGACAGCCCATCATTTTTGTGGGCTGTGGTCAGGTTCGTAGCTGCTGCGGCATGATGCGACGGATCAGCTGATTGATCACAATCCAAGACTTACACCGATTTGAGGCAACTGAGGGTCTCCAATGTGGTACAGGCTATCTTAAGCGACTAGGATGAATTGCCACTCCTCCCCTCTTAGAATATGTTGCATGTCATAGCATTGGACAAGGCTGACGATGGTTGAGCTGTTCAAGCACGTGTCACGGACGGTTTGAAAAATACGTTCTCTCATGTGCATTCATTGTATTATACAGGTGCTTTTCTGTCGCCCTTCCTCCGACCGAATTCTGCCAAAGCTCTGCCAAAACTTTTTGATCATTTCCCAGTGTCGGTTTTAGATGATGGATCAATTGAGGAGGGCAGCTAAGCGTAAGCCCTGTATCTCGCGTAGCAGAACAGACTGCCGTGAGGCGGAGCCCGGAGTTAGGTGAGGAAACATGCTTGCGAATACCTCTCCTTCTGGATGGAAACCCTTCGTGAACGAAAAGGGTTACGTGAACCCATATTCTCGAGGTCACATACGACTGCAGCTCTGATGTGCACAGAAGTTGCAGTCTGCTTGGAGGGAATGCCTCGCCTCGTTGGTCTCGGGCGTAGCTCCTAGAGCAAACACGGCTTATACCTGTGCAGTCAGCTCACATGCAAATCAGTCTTTGATGGACACGGACCTCGTTTAGTGGATCAAGATCCCCTTTGTAGTCGAGGCTCGACTCTTCCATCGTTCTTGACGTCCCTCGCTGGAATCGTCGGAGTTATGCAACGCACCGAATGCAACGCACCGAATTGCAACTAGTAGTGCTTTGGTCGTAGTTCTTATTGACGTTCTGGTGCTGGCTCTCGACGTCTGACCCCGACCACGAATATTGGTTTGACTCTATTGTTCACTATGATGTACGAAGATATTGGACCTCAAATCAAAATGACTTCCTCTAGCTATCAGTTTTCCGCGTCAACGCCTACCCGGACGCACAAACACCACTGCTCGCATGTTGCACGACCCTTGGGGTATGGATATATTGTAGGATTTTACTATTCGAGTATGGTCTCTGGTAGTATATCGGATAGTACACCCGCCTGTCATGAATCCTGTATAGGATTATCTCATAAGGACGCGGGAGAGCGGGGTTCGACTCCCCGCCAGAGAGATCCTTTTTTACATTTTCTGCAGTGAAGAAACACGTCTCAACTTGGAGTGTACACTTCAGAACATGGCTAGCATGAGCCTCGGGTTGGGGTCAAACCTATTAGTTACTTTTCGTACCATTAATACGATATGTGATATAGATTCAAAAAGACGAGGTAATATCGGGAGACATTGTGCAAAAAAAAAAAGATACACAGATTCTCAAAACGCACCGTAGGTGAATCGGAGAGAGAGCTCGATGCTCACTACTCACTACTCAAGTACTCATGATCAACTGAAATGGTTCGACCCAACAATCACACCGGGAGCATGACGTCACGTTAGTACAACACGGATGGAACCCCTCAATTGATATCGCAGACACACAGCCAGTTAATAGAGTTGAGGGGTTGATGCCTGTCCGGATAGCATTCCTGCGGAAACAAGTAATCACTCCACCGTGAGCCTGTGGGAAGTATGGCATTACTGGGGGTTACCACTACGTTTGTTGTCTGTGACTGAAGTCGGGATCATGTTTGTGTATGGTGCATTTAATCTTCTCCCACGAAGGCTGTGTGATGCACTCAAACGATGGAGTTCCTGGAGGCCAGTTTTCATGTTTAGAGTGCTCCAGTGACGTGCAAGCCTGATCGGTTATAGTATCACCGTGCATGACCTATACAGACCTGAAATTTTACTTCCCCATACGTCTCCAGCGCCATGGCTTACGATTCGTACTAGAACCCTGTTTGGTCTCGTGCGAGGCGATCCGCAAACACCCGCTCTTGGATGATCAGAGATGTGATGTGGGAACGACCATGTGCACAGCATGACACCAAACGGCGTTATAATGCAGAAAAGCATCGACTGTTGTTATGCTGGCGGAAAAAAATTATGAGGTCGGAGGGCCGTCCAGAAGGCCACTTCACACGAGGCGTGTGTACATCTGAAGCAGGCAACGAGTCCCAAGGTGATACTCACGTAGGTATCATTGGCGCTCCAAATGTATGGCAGCCTGTGTCCACCATGCGGCAATACGCCGTTCCCTAATTAATATTGATTGGTATTGGGATTGGTGAGAGCCAAGGAAGACGACAGCTGATCCGTCCTGCACACTAGCGACAATGATAATAACCAAGAACATCGTTCGAATGCTGGTCTGTACGAGCTTCGTATTGTTTCGAGTGACGACGGCAATCCCTGAGCATGATAGAGTGAGAGTGAGCGCCTAGGGGGAACCGGGCAACCCACTGGTTTGAATGGGAAGAGGATGCAGTCAAAGAGGCTGAGTCGGGTACACGCAAGAGGATTCTATGTGGATGAATGCGAAACCTAGATGCGTGTCGACTTCGTGCACCTCCGGCAAAAGTGATGAAATGCGATGACACGCTACATGACGTGGACGCCGTCTTTCGCTTTCTTGGAGGCTCCATCTATATGGGTAGACTTGCCTCATAGACGGACCAGTCTGCTAGGTAAGCAAGGCGGAAGCAAATATTGACTTGTTTTATTAAGAAAGCTGCTGGGCACATTGCGTCACGGTTGCGGTGAAGCACCCCGTCGACTGTCACATGTCACGTTCCAGAGGCGTCGCACATACATATGACACAGACAGTAAAACCTGCAAAGGCGGTGCAGGCGGGATGTCTCTGTAAACCACATCATCTGCAACAGCTCTTTAGCTCGACATCAACCCAGAGAAAAGCCACGCACTAGGAGGAGCAAGGCGGCTAGCTAGAGGAATGGTTTTCTTCGAGCCATTTTCGCAGATCCTTCTTATTGATCATGCTCATTACCCTGAGACGGTCTTCCTGCGTGCGATCGCGATACAACCGCATAATATGCCCGCACACACTCCACACATCATCCCATGAAGCATCAAAAAGGTCCCACCAACAGTTCGGTGGCGTGGAGGGAAGTGAGATGTCAAGATGTCGCGCGGCCAGGAATATGGCAGCGCTAACAATCGTTGGAACTGCATACAGAGCGTAAACTGGAGTTTGTAATCTGGCCCAGCGGTTAAATCAGCATTACGGATTACAGTCGTACCACCCACGCATCATTTAGAAATCCCCATGCTTTCGCACACGCATCCTTGTGATTCGTCAGGCCGAGGACTCGAAGATAGTTGATCAACGTTCCATAAGGCAGAACGACATGAACATTGAAGCCGAGGCGCTTCAATAGCTGCATTTCCGCCACCACAACAGCGTCCTTGAGATCATAGAAGGTGTTCCCAAAGTACGACATTGGTGCATATTTGAACTTTTCTTTGCCCTTCCTCGAACCGGGTGAAGCAAGCTCGTCCGCCGTGCGCTGTAAGAGTAAGTCGTAGATGTTGACGAGATCTCGCATCCGAAGCGGACATTCCTCCAGTTTTGAGGCCAAGTACAATGCTCCCATTCCAACATCCTGTTGGTGTTTTTGTGAAGATCAAAAGGAAACCACCAAAGCGACCGTACTGACCCCTATACTGAACTGCTTCATCGAGGAAGTGTACCAGAATTTTTGATACAGGATCTGGGCGGTAGCAACCGCCACCTGCTTTCTGCCAGCGTTGAGGAGGATATGAATCAAGAAGTTTGGTCACGACACACTGTTTGAGCAAGACGCCAGCTTCATGGATGAGTTTGCAGCCGAATGCCCTGAGATCTTCCTCCAGCTCCTGGGGAACACCCTCCTCTCGAGACGGGGTGCGTTCGATTTGGGAGAAAGTCGCTAGTGGTACAAGGTCTGGAGTCATGCGAAAAAATCTAGTGAGTACTTCAACTTGGAGCATCCATTGGCAAGCTCGACGCTCAAAATGGCAGGTCTGCGACCGACCGTAAAGCAGACCAAACAAAGACTCAAGAAACAACGCTCAGTCTGACCGCTTCGTTATGTCGAATCTCCCTCCCAAACCTGATTTCTCAAGAGTACCAAGTGTCTGGCCTGCGCCAGGCGATGATCGGCGTCCTGGTGGTCGTGCAACACCAGACCGGCATTCCCACCAACGTGACGACAGAGATCCAAGAGACCGCGAACGCGGTAGCCGCTCCCGTTACCCTCCCAGGTCACCCCCATGTTCCATGGATTCATATATCGCTGGTGCTCGTGATACCTACCATTCGAGGGATCACCGTGGCCACGATGATTCTCGCGCCAGGGATAACATCAGGACAGACTGGAACAGTGATCGGGGATCTTACAGGAGGCAGTCTGGTAGACCAGACGACACATGGATACCCAGGAAGGACTATGGTACAGACCGTGCCTCCTCAAGTCGCAGGGGATATGATGGACGGGGATATGATGATCCATATCCTCGGGAAAGTGACTGGCGCAGTCGAGATGATTACAGAAGACACAGAGAACGCGGGAGAAGTCGGGAACGTGACTACTCATACGAAGAACGGAGGGACCGAGAGCACGATAGGAGACACCCTTCACCGATTTATCGTCCTGCACCTGTATCTCCCCGCCGTGGTGAGCTTCCCTGGTCCTCATCGTCCTAATACGCTTTTAATCAAACGACACCAGATTACCACACTGGAGCTCAATCACCCTCTCGCCGACCTTCGTATCCCCCTCGGGGAAGGCGACCATCTTCCGTTAGAAGCACGGGAAGCAGGTCCCGTAAATCATCGCCCATGGCCCGTGTGAAATCAGAAGTCGCAGACCTTTATCTATCTCGCGACAACGCTCGACAACAGAGGAGTCCAGCTTCCCCTCAAAAGTCTGGCCGATACAGTCGTAGCGCAAGCCCCCGCCGCCGTTCATCCCCGGCGTCGAGTCTGACGCGCTCACAAATTAAACCTGGAATGCCTGAGGCAAAGGCTCGTCCGCTCTGTCACCCTGACGAATCACACAGGGATGATGGACCCAGCCCAACTAACCCTGAACCCATTCAAGTCGAGGACGACCCAGTCGACAGAAGTACCGTCTTCGAGAACCAAATATGTGCCGAGCCTCCGGCGGGGCCACCATTTTCCAAGGGAAAGGATCGTTCTGACGACCGAGATAGAGAAGCACACGCAAAAATCCCATCACATTCACCTCAACAAGCCCCGCATTCACCGCTGGAACACAACCAATTGCAACATCTCTACCAGGGAGCCGAAGCTGTCCCAAGCCCTTCGACTGAACCAATGAAACCCGCGATCACGCAACCGTACCTGCCCATCATTCCCAGGTATGAGGCGAAGCCCAAGTTTAGTTCTACGTATGAAACTGAGGTCAGTTCGTGAGACTAATTGCCATGAGGCTTGGCTCACGAAGCGTTGTGCTTCAGTTCAACCGACTCGATGCCCATCGAGCTCATGCAGCAGCAGAGTGTAAACGATGCTTAAAGGCGAGCCGCCGTGCATTCCACGAGTTGGATATGACTACACTAGACTTGCGTGCCGCGCAGCACCGTCGCGAGCTGGCAGAAAATCACCGTAAAAAGGCACACCATGGACAGCTTGGTATTGATGCTGAGACAGTGCAATGAACAGCCCATCTGTTTCTACCATCACCCTTGGCATTATCGAATGATGTCGTCTTTAGATTATAGGTTTACACCACTATGGCCGCCTGACTTTATTGCAGACGATGTGCGTCCGAGATGGATCAGAGGGTAGTGTACAGAAAAAAAACATATTTCTACGTTCGAGGATGAGTAATACATACGTAACGAACTTGCTACCTGCATCGCCTCGAACAGTTCCGTGAAAGACATCTTGAGCTGCGCATCGTGGTGCTCAGCCATCTGGACGGCTGGGAATTCGATCGCCACTCACTGTGACACACCGACGGCCCTTTCCCCCCGGCTCGCCATCTTGACACAGCGTAGAGTACGGAGACACCCGTTCGCTGTCAAGGGTGTATTGTGCCTGTGGATTTTGCTGGGACCCTCTCATTAAGGGCAACTAGTTCCGAAACAAAATAAATCACAGCATGAACGGTTGGCATCCTTGGTGAACGTGATAAATGTACTAGAGCTAATTGGAAAGCTAAGTGCTCACTGGTTCCTATGACATATTGTGAGCCTGTGGCAAGATC